CTCAAATGAATGAGTGAGTCTTTGCAGCAGTGAAATCATATTTCTGCGCTCAACTGAATGTCTTTCTCTGTCCGTTCTTCCCACACGAACGATGACAATAATCCTTTATTTCATATAATTTTCCACTTACATAATATAATTCATAATCCTTTATTCAATACATGAAAACCCATGAATTGGATTGATTGGGGCTAGTTGATAATCTCATACACATTCTATCTTTTCTCAAAATTTTGAATTCTCTGATATTTAGACACACATACCTCATCATATTATTGAATATGAGCTGTTTAAAAGCACTTTTAAAATAACTGAAAATGCTTTTGGTGAAATTAATTTTGAGTTCTAAAAGCAAGTGCTTTTTGGACGAAGCATCAAATATATATTTCTTGCAGGAAACACTTAAATGCTTTTTAAGGATCTATTTGAATTTTTACTAAGGATTGATTTCAAAAGCATTTTCATTAAATCGCTTTCAGTCATTTTAAAAGTATTTCTAAACGAACCCTCTACTTAGTGCCAATAAGATGATTAATTTTGTGTATCTAACAAAGGAAAAAAAAAAAACATCTATAAGCACAACACAAGAATGTTAGGAAACAAAAGGAGCAGTAATGAAAGAAACCCTGTCGAAACGGGGTGATTTAGTTAATTAGCAAAAGTGGCCACTATATAGAAGGCTTAATAAATCTATCTCATTACACACAAGCACAGTCCAAAGTCCACAGACTCATCTCTCGCACACAGATTCCAAACTACTATATAACAAAGTTAGCATTGTTTGGCGCACATACATCTACCGCGGAAGCCATGACATTGTCCTCCATTGAAGCCCTCTGAATTGCAGATGTTTACGCAGTTGCTTGTGAAAAAACACACTGCCTTGAACTTGCTGCTCTGAGACTCGCACGTCTTTTTTCCGAGAGATTTTGGAATATGTGCGCTAAAAAGTTAATAACTTAAAAAATAAAAGTTCTCACTACTTATATTAAAACATGTGGTGTACCACTTGTGTTCTCGTTACAACTTAAAATTTCTCCCTTTTCTCGACTGGCTTGTTTGACGTAGCAATCCTTCCCTCAACAGCCATTGGTCCCATCTCTGCCAAATTCAAACTCATTAAAACGACATCAATCTTTAGCTTAAAATCATATTAATTAAGAAAAGAGACATGTTTAAGACTGCTTATGGAAGGCTTAAAGTGTTTTCTCACGACAAAAATGCTTCTAATTACGTTTGACAGAAATTAAAAGAACACTTTTGAGTCATGGAGGCACGGAGGGAGTCAGAAACAATTTTTTAGTGGAGACAACTTTTAAAGAAGTGAAACTTCAATACAATGTATTTACTTTTATCCAACTACATGATTTTGGAATTGGTGTTTAAAACGCTTAAAATTGCCAACCATTAGCTTACATGACTAGGAAGGGTGAGAGGATAGGAAAGTATAGAACGTAAAAGGACAACTTATATTTTTAGTTGGAGCAATTTTCCATCATATAAAGAGTTGAGTGGTGGCAACTGCCCGCAGTGGGCATATGCTGCCTCTGTCCATGCGTGGAAGTACTTCATGTTCAATAAATATTTGTACATATTTATAATATTAATTATAAAAGGCAAAAGGGTTTATAAGCATAATTGCTTCTTTCATACCAATAGTGGCAAAAAATAGGACATGGACGAAGTCAACTAAAACAAAACGCATTGAGGACTCCATGTTTGATTTATGCGTGTTATGTGAGTGTGTGCTTTATCTGTGCGTGTGTGCTTGTGTATGAATTAGAGATCATATTTTACTGATACAGGCAGCTATAACCATGCATAGCTTATTATATATGTAAAGAAGATCCATCTCTGAAACGGAGCTCAGCTCCATAGCCAAAATAAGCAGTTGAAAAATTCCAGCTTAAAAGGCACCACAAACCAATTCCTATTTTTGTTAACTAAGTTTTGGCTTCATAATTTAGATTACTGTAACCTAATTACAATTTTTATATACATAACAACTTTTTAACAAGTTTACAGTTAAGATTTCAAACTTAGGGTTGGTTAGAAACTTAGGGTTATAATATTGATAAATATAAGTTCTTATAAATGCATACTATAGCAATACCACACATACTATGTAGAGAATATGTAGAGAAGTGGGAGCAAAATGTGAAAGTGTTTTAAAAATAGGTAAGAATAATGAAAACACTACACAAGACATAAAAGTAATGATCCATGTAGGATCATTCAATTTATTAGCAAAAGCTACCCTGTGGATACAGAGTCATTTCAATTCATCTCATTACACAAGCACGATCCCAACACAGATTACATTTCTTTTTAACAAATTAATTAGCACTTTTTGTTGCACATGCATCTACGACGGAAGCCCTGACATTCGCCTCCGGTGAATTTCTCCATTTTGCAAGTGTTTTTACAGTTGGTAGATGAAAAGCACAACCCCTTGAACTTGCCGCTTGCAGCCTCACATGTCCTTTCCTTAGCTACCTTGCCTGACTTACTCCTTGCCTCAACACCCATTGGTCCCATCTCTGTAAAATCAAATTACATTAAATATAACAATTAGTTTTTTGTTGAATAAGATGTTTTATTCAAAACATCATAAGAAGTTAATTATTAAAAAGAGGTATAAATTACCGGTAGCAGCTGAAAAGCAGGACAAGAACGAAGATAGCTGAAACAAAACGCATAGAATGTTCCATTTGAATATGTGTTTCTTTGGTGTGTGATCTGTGTGTGTGCTTGTGTATGATAAGAGAGATCTCAATCGCTAATGCAAAGAACAATAACCATACATGGTTTATTATATAGGGGATGTACGGCAGATTAAAGAGGATTGGTCTCCGTAAAGAAAGATAGCTCCACGCCCAAAATAAAAAGTTGAAATATTCAGCTTAATTGGCACCATAAACCAAATTCCTATTTTTATTGACTAAGTTCTCCACCCTACAATTTTCTATGCACATTATAGGTTTTCATTTTCAAGCACATTTAACATTTCCTTTAAATATTGGGTTATAAGCACATGTGGCTTATTATTCAGATTTTTTTATGTAAACAAAGCATATATATCTCATCGGAAAGACCATAATTCTTATAACAATATAAATTAAATTTTTTTTTTGGTTGTTTATACCATAATAATAATTTAAATTATATAGATCAGGATTTGAACATTAGGTATAGAGAAGATTACGTTACATAATTAGCTAACTTGGCTAAGCCTAATAAAATGAATTTTAAAGTAGAATAGTTGAGGAAATAATGATTAATTGTATTTCAAACATAGGGCATTACAAAGACTTAAATTTGTTGACAAATAAAGAAGTTACATATAGCATGTCATATTGTATAAAATAATTCACGATGGTGCTACTTAACAAACAAGAACATTAGAAACCATAACAACGATACAATATTAACTATCCAACTATGAATTGGGTCCTTAATTTATTCCGGCTAGCTCCACACTAGTACCAAAGTACATACGTCCATGAACACACTGTTAATTGAGTGATTAGTGATCAACTTATCAATAGCTTAATTAATTAGCTAATTAACAATGTCCAGTGCAAAAGCATCTACGGCGTAATTAAGCCACAACAGTGGCCTCTGGGGAAGCCCTCAGTTTGGCAAACAACAACATAATTACTTTTTCTCACGTAGGTTCCCATGAAGCGATTAGATTGAGACTCCAGGTCCTACCCTCAACAACCATCGTCCGTTTAAACAACTATCAAAACAAAATATGGTAAATATGCATGCTTAAAATCGTAATAATATTTGTTAACAATGAAGTTGAGTAACAAGACTGAGGGAGAAGAAGTATTACTGGTGGCCACCAAAAACAACGGGAAGACGCAGGTAGTTGGGAGAAAACGCATGGACCGTTTTCTATGTATCTGTAACAAGTTTGTAGTTAAGATTTCAAACTTAGCTAGGGTAACTCAGAATGATATTATTGATATATATAGGTTCTTATAAATTCATAATATAGGAATACCCAAGGATGAAGCCAGAGATCTATATGGGATATGGGCATCCTATAAAACAAAATCACATATTAAGAAGCTCAAGAATTTACTAACAAAACACATATATTAACCCATAAAATTTTCGTATAACATATTACAATATCCCATGACGCATTTTCAAGTTTTGAAAGTATTGCATGACAATTTCATTACCAATATCATCAAATATATCTTTTTAAAAAAATATCCATCTTATTATTCATCCATTAATTTCCTTCCGATTTTTGAATTGATTATTTGAAAATTTCATAGTTGAAAATGCTTTATCACGTGAAATTACCATATGTACATTTTTTTCACAAAAAAACTGAGTTGGGGCATCCGGCTCTTGAGCCTAAGGTGACTCCATCCTTAGCAATACCACACATACGTACATGCAGAGAAGGAGAGAAAAATCTGAAAGTGTTTTCTTTTTTTTTTTTCTTTCAGAAAAAAATGTGGAAGAGTCTTTTGAAATGTCATCGAGAAAAAACATTATCTTAAAGACTATTTCTTCTAAAATAAAGTAAAAAACAATTAATTAAGTCCTTGCTTAAAAGTTGCTTAAGCAACTTCGAACCTTATCTAATTTTTTTCTTGTGCATCAACCTCACCTTGTCTTACATATGTTATTACCGGTTTAAAAGTCAAAAGAATATAATACAACCGAAGGTGTGGATAAAAAAGTACATTTGAAATTGACAATGTGACTTAACAATTTTTGAAATACAAATTAAAGTAATGTGTTGAATCCAAGTACACTAAGTGAAATATTTTCAACAATGCCTTGTCAAAACGGCAAAAAAGTTTCGTTATTAGTGTTTGACGATAATTATCATGCACTCTTTCTTAATGGAAAGATAGTAAACAAAAGAAGAGTAAGTGGTGATTATCTAGAATGTTAACAATAACCTGAAGAAAAATATGATAATAGGCGATTAAAAATGCGTAAGGTGCGGTGAAATACTACACAATACATAAGAATAATGATCCTTGGAGGGTCATTCAATTTATTAGCAAAAGCAACCCTGTGGATATAGGGTCATATCAATCAATTTCATTACACAAGCACAATCCCCACACAAATTACATTTCTTTTTACCAAATCAATTAGCACTTTTTATTGCATATGCATCTACGACGGAAGCCCTGACATTCGCCTCCAATGAATTTCTCCGTTTTGCAGGTGTTTTTACAGTTGGTAGACGAAAAGCACATCCCCTTGAACTTGCCGCTTGCAGCCTCGCAGGTCCTTTCCTTAACTGCCTTGCCTGACTTGCTCCTTGCCTCAACACCCATTGGCCCCATCTCTGTCAAATTGAATTACATTAAAAATAAAGATAATTTTTTTTTCAAATGAGACGCTTTATTCAAAACATCATAAAAAATTAATTATTAATAAGAGATATAATTACCAGTAGCGGAGAAAAGTAGGACAAGGACGATGGTAACTGAAACAAGACGCATTGAACGCTCCATTTGAATCTATTTGTATGTGAGTGTGTGCTTGATTTGTGTGTTTGTGTGTGTGTGTGTGCTTGTGTATGATAAGAGAGATCTCAAACGCTAATGCAAAGAACAATAACCATACAAGGCTTATTATATAGGGATCTAGGACAAATTAAAGCGTGTTGGTCACCGTAAAAAGAGGTAGCTCTGTACAAAAATTATTATTTCGTTGAAATTTTCAGCTTAATTGGCACCATAAACCAAGTTTCTATTTTTGTTGACTGAGTTCTCCACATTATATTTTTCTATGCACATTAGTGTTTCTTTTTCAAGCACGTTTAATTTTAGCTTTTAAAATATATATTTAGGTGTTAAGCACATTTGGCTTATTATTCACTTTTTATATGAAATGAAGCGCCACACACACACACACACACACACACATATATATATATATATATATATATATTATACATATGGCCCACACTTGTCCTCTTCTTCTTGGACAGCTGGAGGTGATTTTTGGAATTGCAGCGTATGTTCGTTGCCATTGCCCTGGCTTTTGCCTAATATAGACTGGAGAGTCTGGAGAAGATAAGATATGTGCATGTGCCATGCAATGCATAGTAATATTACTGTTGATACAGGGCCATGCCTTCAAAACAAACGAGAAAAAGGAAAGAAAGAGAAATAATAGGAGCCATGCATGCATATTTCTTTGCTCAATGAATAAGTGAGTCAGTACTTGCAGCAGTGAATTGTCTTTCTCTGTCCTTTCTTCCCACACGATCGAGGACAATTAATCCTTAACTTCACATAATTTTCTTGCCATTCTAATTCATAATTTTTTATGCGTTTACTAGCTTATACATGAAATACAAAAGTATGTGAATTTCACATGACAATTATTGTTCAATACATTAAACCCATGAATTAGATTGATTGGGGCTAGTGATTTCATACACATTCATGTATTTCCAAAGTTTTCAATTCCCCGATATTTAGAGACATATAACTCATCATATTATTAAATATGATCTCGTTTAAAAGTGTTTATGTTTTTTTTTTTTGTTAAACGATAGATTTGTAGATTAGATGTTAGATTAGGAAGTCAACATGGTTCGAACACACATCATGGTGCAAGGCAACCTTCTCTTTACTATTATGGTAGAGGGCCGCTTGCGAAAATGCTTTTAAAATAACTGAAAACACTTTTGGTGAAATTAATTTTGGATTCCAAAGCACTTTAAATGAGTTTTGGATGAAGCACCATGATATGTTCTTCTTGCAGGAAGCACTTAAATGCTATTTCAGGATCTACTTGGATTTTTAAGGATTTGTTTCAAAAATATTTTTATTAACATTGCTTTAAGTAATTTTAAAAACACTTTCAAACTAGTTTTGTGTATGTAAAAAGAAAGAAAAAAACATCTTTTTAAGCACAACACAGGAATGTTAAGAAACAAGAGGAAGCAGTGATGAAAGAACCCCGGTCGGAACAGGGTGATTTAGTTGATTAGCAAAACCAACCCCAATATATAGCCACGTACAATAATCGATCTCATTACACACAAGCACAGTCCACCGATTCATCACTTCCACACAGATTCCAAAATATTATATGCAACAAAATTAGCATCGTTTAGCGCACATGCATCTACGGCGTAAGCCACGGCATTGTCCTCCATTAAAGCCCTGATTTGCAGGTGTTTACGCAGTTGCTTGTGAAAAAGCATACTGCCTTGAACTTGCTGTTCTGAGACTATCACGTCCTTTTTCTCGACTGGCTTGTTCGACGTAGCTAGCAATCCTTCCCTCAACAGCCATTGGGCCCATTTTTGCCAAATTCAAACTCCTTATACTACTTCAATCTTTAGATTAAAATCATATTAATTAAGAAAAGAGACGTGTCTGCTTTATGGAAGGCTTAAAAGTGCTTTCTAACAACAAAAGATGATTCTAATTACGTTTGACATAAATTAGAAAAACACTTTTTGAGTCACGGAAGACTGGACGGAGCCAGAAACATTTTCTAGTGGGGGCAACTTTGAATCATGAAATTAAATTGAAAATTTGATAAAATGTTATCAACTTATCATCCAACTACATGATTATGGAGAAGTGGTGTTAGAACGCTAAAATTGTAAACAATTAGCTTACATGACTAGGAAGGGTGAGAGGGTATGAAAACTATATATAAAATGTAAGCGGATAATTTATATTTTTAGTTGGAGCAATTTTCCATCGCAAAAGGAGTTGAGTGGGGCAGCTACCCCCAGTGGAAATATGCGGCCTCCGTCCATGTGTGGAAGTACTTCATTTTTAATAAATGTTTTTTTTTTTTTGGTTGAACATTTTTTAATAAATGTTTGTACATATTTATACCCCCAGTGAAACAAGACGCATTAACGGCTCCATGTTTGATCTGTGTGTGTTATGTGCGTGTGTCCTTGTGTATGAATTAGAGATCAGATTTTGCTGATGCAGACAACTACAATCATGCATAGCTTATTATATAGAGAAACAAGATCCATCTCCGAAAACGGAGCTTAGCTCCATATCCAAAATAAGCAGTTGAAAATTCCAGCTTAAAAGGCACCGTAAACCAACTTTCTATTTTTGTTAACTAAGTTTCGGCTTCATAATTTAGATTACTGAAACCTAATTACAATTTTCATATACGTATCACCTTTTTAACAAGTTTATACAGTTAAGATTTCAAACTTAGGGTTGGTTAGAAACTTAGAATTATAATATTGATAAATATAAGTTCTTACAAAAGCATACTATAGCAATACCACACGTATTATGTAAGAAATGGGAGAAAAATGTGAAAGTGTTCTAAGAAAAAACATATACGACAATAGGCAAATAAAACTAGAAAAAAGGTTTAAAATGTTATCAAGAAAATATCAATCCTTAATGACAATTTCCTCTAAAATAAAAAAAAATAAAAATAAACAATTAAGTTTATCCTAAAAAGTTGCTTAAGAAATTTCGAACCTTTTCCTAATTTTTTTTCTCCTGCATCAACCTCACCTTGTTTTACATTTATTACCACTGGTTTAAAAGTCAAAAGAACTTAATACAACAGAAGGTGTGGATATAAAAGTACATCTGAAATCGACAATTAATGAGACTTAAATAATCTTTGTGACATAAATTAAAGTAATGTGTTGAATCCAAGTACACTAAGTGAAATTTTTAAACAAAATGCCTTGTCAAAACGGAAAAAAAAAATTGTTATTAGCATTTGACGATAATTATCTATCACTCTTTCTTAATTGAAAGTCAATAAACGAAAGAAGAGTATGTGGTGACTATCTGGAATGTTAATAATAACCCTAAAGAAAAACATACAGGATAATAGGCGATTAAAAGTACGTAAGGCACGGTGAAAACACTACACTAGACATATGAATAATGATCCATGCAGGGTCATTCAATTTATTAGCAAAAGCAACCATGTGGATACAGGGTCATATCAATCCATAGCATTACACAAGCACAATCTCTACACATATTACGTTTCTTTTGTAACAAACTAATTAACACTTTTTGGTGCACATGCATGTACGGGTCAAGCCACTACATTTGCCTCTGGTGAATTGCTCCTTTCTGCAGGTGTGTTTACAGTTGTTAGAGGAAAAGCACAACCCCTTGAACAAGGTGCTCGGAACCTCGCAGATCTTTCCCTCAACTGCCTTGCTTGACTCAGTCCTTGCCTCAACACTCATTGGCCCCATCTCTAAAGATCAAATATTTTTGTTGAATAAGATGCTTTATTCAAAACATCATAAAAATTTAATTATTAAAAAAAGGTATAATTACCGGTAGCGGCCAAAAGCAGAACAACAATGAAGGCAGCAGAAACAAGACGCATTGAACGCTCCATTTGAATATGCGTGTATGTGAGTATCTGCTTGATCCGCGTGTTTCTCTGTGTGTGCTTGTGTGTGATAAGAGAGATCTAAGACGCTGATGGAAAGAACAATAACCATGAAAGGCTTTTTATATAGGGGTCTAGCGCATATTAAAAAGGATCTGTCTCCGTAAAGCGAGGTAGCTCCATACCCAAAATACAAAGTTGAAATTTCCAACTTAAGAGGCACCATAAACAAAATTTCTATTTTTGATGACTAAGTTCTCCGCCATACATTTTTCTATACATATTAGGGTTTCTTTTTCAAGCACATTTAACTTTTGCTTTTAAAAGAATATTTGGGTTTTAAGCACATTTGACTTATTATTCACATTTTTATATGTAAATGAAGCGGCATATATATATCTCACATAAAAGACCATATTTCTTATAACAATGTATGTTTTTTACACAAGTTTTGGTCTGTCTGTACCAAATTAATCTAAATTATATAGATCAGGATTTGTACATTAGGTGTAGATGAAGATTATGTTGTTTTAGGTAACGTGGCTAAGTCTAATAAAAAATGAAAATTAATGAAAATGACTTGAAAACTTTGAGTTTTAACAATAAGGACAAAATAAAGGGTAAAGTGAATAGTACAAGGATTGATTTTTTAATGTAAAAATGTGGTTTTTCGTTAAGGTGAACAGTACAGAGAACTTTTCGTTGAAGTTCCCTAATAAAAATGAATATTAAAGTAGAACCTCGAGGAAATGATGATTAATTGTATTTTGCAGGGCATTACAAAGACTTAAATTTGTTGACAAATAAGTAGTTACGCAGTACGACATACGATACAAAGTAACTCACGACGGCGATACTTAACTAATAAGAACATTAAAAACCATAACAGAGATACGATATTAATTAACAACCCAACAGTTAATTATTCCAGCTAGTTACGGACTAGCACCAAAGTACATGCGTCCTTGCACCCATTACGTATTAAGTGATAAGTGATCAGCTCATCACTAGCTTAGTTAATTAGCTATTTAACTATTTATGTGCACAAGCATCTGCGGCGTAAACCCAAGAACCAGCCACCAGTGAAGCCTTTAGTTTGGCAAACAACTGCGAAGTTACTTTTACTCACGCAATTTCCATGGAAGCGGTTACTTTGAGATTCGCAGGTCCTACCCTTAACAACTTTCG